AGCCAAATTTAACAATACAATTACAGTATTTTCTTCTTTATATAATTCCACGTAGATAATAGGTGAATTTGACTCCTTTTATTTCCCTCAATATGCCTGTTCCCACCAATTTTATGAAGTGACTCAAAAGTTTGTACTTTTTATTCATAATAACACGAGGACAGGATATAAGCAATCAGATCGATAACAAGATCATTCACCTACCAGTCACATCACATTTACCCAAAAACTAATAGATAACGTCAATGTCTTAAAATTTTTTTAATTAATATTATCGGAATGTAGGTTTGTAATTGATTTATTTCATAAATTACGATATACATAATATACTTACTTCCATGAAGTACATCCTTTAAAAAAAATATGTTTTTACATTTTATATATAAAGATGTTTAACATTTCCTCTGATAAAAAAGACAGATACCATATTTAGGACATTAAATTTTACTAATAGCATAAATACATACGTTACACGTTTTGCGTTTTATATTTATTAAGCATGTTAAGTAAAATAGATTTTTGCTGATAGGTTAATCATGTGTCTGATTATAATTTATATACTGCTGGCAATATTTGCTGTTGGAATTGAAAAGGTTTAAAAGTGTTTCGTTTTTGTGTTATTTTCTTTTGACTAGAAACTTTCTGTAAATCGTCTCCACTATAGTATCCATGATTCAGAGGCATGTTTTTATCAACAAATAGAAGTGGTTTGATTATCAAGAAATATACCCCATTCATACGACATGATTTGCATACCTCAGTATATTTTACAAATGAGTAAATTTACTCACATGTGCAATTTCTGTTGTATGAACTGATATTCTCATTTGCAGATTCTGCACAGTTGAGTAAATTTACACCTGGTCTGGACTAGGTGTAGATTAACTTATGCATACACATTGTAGCAAATTAATAGTTCATGTGTTTAAATTGTATCGTATAAACATGCAACAGATTTACTTATGTACGTATTTTGTTCTGTTTAATATATAAATTTTCATTTTAAGTGTTGTTTTGGTTGTGTATGCAATGGAGTGTAAAATATCAGTCAGTAAACATGGTTGATTGATTGATTGATTAATTGTATATTGTTTTACTCCCTCTCGAGAATTCTTCATTCTTACTAGGCACTCAAGGCCATTGAGCAGGGAATGATCTTTTCCTTGCCAGCACCTGCTGCGACACGGAACCTCCGTTTATACGGTCTCATCCGAAGGATCGGACTCCACTCCCAACAAATTGATTCGAACCTGCGACGTAAGGATCAAGTCCTTATATTGCGACTCTATGGAAGACGCACAAACCACTGCGCCACACGCCGACTTGGTGACTATAGAAGGCAAGACTCTTAAAAACAAGGAGCTATTATCCCCATCGAGACAACTTTTTTAATCGGCCAAAACGAGGGCATCTTGAACCTTTCTTGCAAACGTATGTTTATGTCTCTAAAGATATAGAGCTGTGGTCCTAAATAAGTGTCCTGTACGATCAATAAGTAGTGCCCTTACTATGCAAGTTCTTTTCTTGGGAATGCTCGGGAGCTATGATAGGAACATGCATCCCATCAGTCGCTCAGCCCAATTACCATTTAGCTCTTGATGACTTTTTTCTACCTTTCTGTTTTTAATTCAGGGAAGCTACTTATATATAGATTAATGTTACAGGAATTTCAATAAACTAGTGAAAGTAAGCATTCGTAAGTAACCTTTACACCTGATCTCATCATGAATTTCCAGAGGTTCCTGTTAGTTTCCTATTGACATATTTGTATTGTTCAAAGATTTTTGAGATCGATCACTGTTAGATTTTTTTCACCCTTTTCATTCTACTGGAAAATATATGATTATTAATAAAATATTCAAGCAGATATTTTATAATGGCCTCGCACACTTAACATACTGAAGATTTCCCAACAGCAATAATATTTTGAATGGTTCTATTTCTGCCAATAAAAGTCAACTAGTAGATGGCAAGTCGAATTTTTCTATACACCCAACGGTTCTTCTACAATCTTTGATACGGAAGCAAAGACATTTTCCAACAATAAAGCAATATGAACTGTATTTTTGAGAAATTTTTTTTGTTATTTATATGTGTTATTATGATTAATATAATTTGTATATGATTTAAACCCTTGTGATTAATAAAACCAAAGTAAATTGTTTTAATTGTATCAGAAGAAATGTTTTTGTACAATCGAATATAGAGCATTATATAAGAGATCAATAGTGCACAGGACGACAATAATGAAATTTTGCTATAATTAAAGCTTATATATAAAAGTTCTTCCATCGCAAATATGAGTAGCTGTAGTTTATAAATGTTCTTTTTTTATCATTGAAAAAAGTGATTATAAATTTGCAATACAAATTCCCCATGTCAATATTGCAGCTCATGTTGATAATTTTATTACGTTTTGCTTCTTCGAGTTTAATTCTTATACCATTCTTTCTCCCTAAAGTCATTAATTGAGTTGTACAAAGAAATCAGTGAGGAAGATTTAAAAGTTGGTCTTAAAGATTAGTCTTATACTCAAACAGAAAGGAAAAACCCTTTTCTATAAAAATTCACAATTCTGAATCTGTTCATTTCCTTAATCTATGTGAATATGTGAGGATTAACTTACTGTACATAACTCTCGTCTGAACCCATAGCAAATTAACTTTTACTTACCTATGTAGATTTACTTATGTGTAAATTTGCACACATAAGCAACTTTTCGTCGTAGGAATGGGGTATTATTTCCAGGAATTGTTTACTTTATGTTTTTGACAATTGATGGATACATCACAGTTTTCTTGTTGATTTTATATAACATTTATGCGATAACTTCATACGTGTTATGTATTTATTTCATTATATTCTATAATACATATGAGAATAATCTGTATTTTGAAGACTGTGTATAATTTATAATGTATAATTTATCCCAAAAAAAAAACATTCCATAGCATATGATTCTCTTTTGGTCACACGATCCCTGCAAAAACCTTGGCTTTTTACTTGAGGATTTAATACTGAAAACTCACAATCCATCTCTGACTAATGGATTGTGATATATCTCCTGTTGTTTTTTATGGTTTCTTTCAGTCGCAGCCGACTTTTTATTCGTCCTTTTGCTAGCAGTTCTCTGCGTTGCCTTGACTTACAGAAAAAGCTCAATCATGTAACCTTTGTACTTCCTAAATTTGACAGGAATGGTACAAAATGATAACATTAGTTCTCATCTATTCGACTGTCTTCTGTGTTAAAAACTTAGCATTGTTTTAAAGTAACTTTCTGTAATCTAGCATAATGAAAGATATGCCTCATCGAAAAAATTGAAAGTTTCAGACCGTTAATGTAAAACAGTTTTCTATTCACGGCAACTTTATACATACAGTGATATTAACCGCAAATAAAGTTGCTTGCGTATGCTAAAATGTATTGACAATCAAGTTTATTTCAAGATATTTCAAACAAGAAAATATTTCTTTTTAATTATTTCCTGCATCCAACTTGACCTGTCACAGTTGACGTTCTTACTTAAGGCAACATTTCTGCCAGCTTTATGCTGTAACTGCTTTTAAAATTGCACGTGTAGATTTTTTCATTACGTCTTTGCTTACCTAGTGAACAACTGTGAATTCACTATTTTCTGTGAGGTATTTATTTCCGTGGTTCTTAAGGTATAAAATAAAAGACCCATGCATGTATGTCTATCATAATATAATTTCTCCAACTATATTACTATTAAACAATTCTTTAACCATGAAATCAAGTCCTCATACACGAATATATTTTTCTTAAACCTCGAAAATATTTGATGTTAGAGTTTCATAAAGACGATAGCATGACGCTTAATCTCTATTTTTATCATCTGGTTAAAGAACATTACACCCGACTTGTTAACTGAAGGCTTTAACATTGCACCCGATTTGTTTCTTTGTCTCTATGTGCAGATTAAGCATTATTTCAACAAGCCCGAGGACCACTTGCCTTTTTAAGTTAAAATAATAAGTGTGCGATTCATGTGCAACATTAGCTATTCACCATTTAAATTTTAATTTTATGTCATTGAAATTAGACATTATGTATACACAGTAGATAATACAAACAGGATTCGGAAACACGTTTTACAACTTATATTATTTCCTTTCCTTAAAGAAATTTACCAATCTGGGTCTCATTCATGGGCGTCGGAAGCAAGTTTAAAGGGGGGTAAATCGAAAGTGTGTGGGTGGGTGAGGGGGCATATCAAAAAAAAAGGTAAATCAAAATTACCACTGTCTATATAATGGTTAAGCCCCACCCACCCCCCACCCCCCTCCCTCAGGTCTTGACGCCTTTGTCATTTTAACAACGTATTACGATTCTTTTTGAACATCTATCATAAGTACTTTTTTTAAAAAAATTTAACACGCTTAAAAGTATCCTTATAGAATTCTCTGATATATATATATTACAAATGTACGTCTATAAGACTCAAAAGTAAATATAATAATGATGATTTATAGTGTTACATTAACATTTAGAGGCTTATGTATCAAAGTTGAAATAGATCAATAAATTCTTAATAATGTCTTAGAGTTAGATAATTTTTCACTTTGAATTTTAGAAAATTGCTGATTTCCAATTTCATTCAGTTTGAGTTGATGAAGGAATATATATATCAAAATTACATATTTAAAAGATACTTTTGTAGCTAACAAAAAAAAAAAAAACATTGTACAACATCATAACATAACAGGCATTAACTAAATTAAAAACAGAACACCATTCATTGTTAAATTTTAAATTGCAATTTCAAAAAAAAGTTTATGAAAATTTATGACAATTTATATGAACTTCGATAAAATCGATACCTAAACAATAGTGAAATATAGAATACGTAACAGTTAGCCAATCGCTTTTCAGACATTGATTATGGTACGATATATATATCTGGCTGTTGAAAGACCATTTAGCAGAATTTCACAGATTCACGAGAACGCGGCAGATTTGTACGCAACAAAAAAAAAATGAGCAATCAGTGGGTTATCACTTTAATTGTAGGCTTCTTAGCTTTATCTAAAGCCACCATTATTTCTCAAAAATATGCTGCGAAACTTGACTTTAACGATAAGAAATCAAACAATGACCTTTTAGCGGAACATAATGCTCAGTCGTTGACTGAGTGCGCCGCAATGTGTCAAGGGGAGTGCGTGTTTTTTGGTTTTAATCCTAAAATGAAAAAATGCCGTACCCACAAAAAAAGTCTAACGTCTGGTACCTCTGAGGAGGCCGGCTGGAGATACTACTCAGATAACGGTATGTATATTTGGTTTTTTTTTATTCTCTTAGCTTCTTTGATTTTTTAGGTCCTTCTCGAGGGGACAGGATTTTTTTTTTTATCAAGTTTCCTGTATTTTTTTTTTTTTTTTTTAGATTTTTCTAGCATGCCCAAAGATTGCAAAGATCTTCAAGAAAATGGACAAACCATCACAGGGGTGTATGATATATACCCCTACAGAACATTAACCATTCCAATAAGTGTCCACTGCGACATGACCACGATGGGCGGTGGATGGACGGTAGGTTTTTTTTTTTATTTTATAATTAAAAGTACTTAATATAACACACTTTGTTTTGGTGGTTTTAAGGATTTTAGGATTGTATTGTAGTTTATCTCATAAAAAATGGATCCTACGAATGTTCGAAGCAATAAATTGAAATGTAATGTATGTTAATTTTTACAGGCAATTCAGAAACGCGTAGACGGATCCGTGATCTTTGACAGGAACTGGACGGATTATAAGAATGGCTTTGGTTCACCAGAACAGGATGTCTGGATTGGTAAGTGTAAATCGGTTTCAAATAAGAACTTTTTATTCCTTCAAAGTTTTAAGATAAAAAAAATCTAAAGTTAAGACCAGGTAATGTGTGTTCTATGATATTCAGATATCGTGTTTAATTGATATTTCAAATAAAAAAATAGAAAGAAGAATATCATTTAGCGGCATATTCTAATGAGACCAAATTCAGCAATATTGTTTACAGTTATGGAAAATAATTTGATTTTTCATTACGGTAGATTCATATAGATTTTAAAAGAATTAATTGTATTCGATGAACTTTTCAGATGATTTCAAATATATCTTAATACAGGAAATGACGTAATCCATAAATTAACAAAAGAAAACACCTCATCCCTGTATGTGTCCATCACTCTCCAGAATGGTACAACTCTGTATGAAATGTACGATCGATTTTCTGTCTCCAATGAAACAGGAAAATATCAACTCTTTCTTGCAGGACCTGCCACAGGGACACTAGGTAAGTGTATTTATGTTAAGTTCTTAAAATTGGGTTCAAATCACGTATATTATCAATAAGTATTCTTTTCTGTATTGAAAGATTATAAAGTTCTTGAAAAAAAAGAAAGATGTGTTTTTTTTGCAATATATTTATGTATGTTTTTTTGATTCCACGCTAAATAAACATGTTTAATATTACAGAATTTCATTTGCAGATACAATTCATATATTCAGCAGATATTGAATTTGTTATTGTCATGTAGATAAAATTTCTAATTATACATCTTATGTACAAGGAAAAATTATGCAATTTTTTTTAAACAAACAAATCCAATAATTACATTTGTTCAACATTGCTTTTCAGATTGGGTTTCCTGATAATTTTTTATAATTCACATTTTAACTGATACGGAAAAAGTTTACAGTTTCCTTACCAGAGGAATGTAAACAAACTGGTAAGTTAAAATTTTATAATGCAAAATTAATTGTTTTCTGATTTTCAATGATTCACATTTTTTACTATTATACTACTGGAATAAGAAGTTTACAGTGCGTCATTAATCTAAAATGTGTTAAAGGTTTGCAAAAATTTGATGATAAAAAATAATTTGATACAAATGGATAAATATTCAAATACAATAAAAAAAGCTTAAAAAGCCAAATTCAAAAGACCTCAACGCGTTTCACATTTACATTTTTATATAACTAGTAGGAAATCTACCATCTTAAAACATTCACAGATACACCATATCTTATCTCGTTATTTATGATTTACTTAGTATTGCATGTTATACATGTTTGAAGGCACGTTCAATTCTTTAGTTCTGTTTAAAATTATTAAAATCTTTTTTTGAGAACATATTTTCTAAAATTTCAAATGACCTTGGGCAAAACAAAAACCTTTGTCTTTATAATGGTATGCTCTCTGGAGAGTTCTTGTAGGTAAGTGTACATCATAATGAAAAGTGTAATAACGTCTGTTGTTTATTGTTACACTAGAAAGGATGCTATGTGAATTGATGTCATAAAAGTGTTTTGTTGTATATATATTGTATTATTTTTAGAACTCCATATTATCTCTCTATACAGGACAACATTTTGATCCACGTTAAACAATGTATGGCAGACACCAGATTCATCCCACAGAGGCCATACGTTTCAGCTATGTAAGATTAATGTGATGTAAATTAATAACTCCTGGTGTTGTTATTTTCTCTTTGTGTGTTATATATTTTCTCTAATGATCTGCAGAAATGCCAGTATGGTACCTATATAGGAAATCCGTGGCATTTCTATCACTCTCTGCTAAAGAACTAAATAAATATTATCGCTTCTTCTCCAGCACCTAAAATGTATACCTTTAGTTCCTATTAGAATTACTTCCAGTAATGTGTTACATTATTATTGTCAATTTAGATTAAAAAATATATAAATCAATTAATCTTAACAGTTTAAAAAATTTGTGAAAATTCTTTTTGCACCTTCTTGATTTTACAGTATAACAAAAATATTACAAAGCTTTGTCAAAAATGATTTTTTTTTAAAAAACTTTTTTTTAAATTTTCAAGGGATACAATTTTCCTACTACCCCCCCCCCCTCCCTCAAATATAATATTTTTATAATCTTTTAACTGTATACTGTTGATAATGTTAAGAAAGTACTGATGCACACATCCTTAATATCATCAGTATATTTTAATGTACATGTTTGCAATATTGAGAGTGGCTGATTTAAAAATAGTGATCTGCTATTCATTTTTTTTTTGTTGTAACTCTGTCAAAGAATCTGTCATTCTATTTTTTGATAACAAGTGAAAAAATTCATTGTATGTTTTAATTCTTCTTTTACCTAATTTTCAAGGATTTTTTTATAATGATTACCCCTTGAAATGACCGACTTTGTCCTCATTTTGATAGTTTGACACTTAAGGCAGATATAATTGAGACAGAAAAAAGTTTTAGCGCAGGCTGCCGCTGCTAGATTTGACACAGACAATGTGCTATTTTTATTGACAGAAGCACAAGAAGTGTTTTCTTCTTATATCACCACCTTTTATGTATCTTTTGGAATCTGAATACATGTTTTCTTTAACCTAATGATATGTTCCCTTTTAAAAATGTATCGTATCAAAAAAAATTGAATTGTGACACAAGTATTGCAATATGTATCATATCGTGGAGGGGGTGTATCGTTTCAGCCCTAATATCTGGTGTATTTTGTCATAACTACAAATAATAACTTTTTTGTTATTTTGGAATGTAATTTCAATTTGCATATTTATCTTATATTAAAAATAAATGGTTGGATTATTTTTTCATTGCGCATGTTTTCTTCCTTTCTCTCTGTGGTCATCGATGTTGGTAGGATAACAAGTCAGTCTTCTGAATCAAATTGACAATTGTTTCAACAGTCACACGTAATAAGTAAGAATAACAGTATATATTTAATGATTCAATTAATTTATTTTCATCATACCTAAGCAAAATTTTAAGAAGAGTTTAAATAAAAAGAAGAAATTGTTCTTTTACACCAGTAGACTGAAAATGTTGAGATATGTTTGATTTTCTAATTACGACGTTATGGTAACGTCACTGACGTTATGAAATGACTGGAAGATATGCCTACATACCTGGGCCTGTATCTTCTTTGTTTTCAATGATATTTGCATGAAATTTTGAATTTGTGTTATCATTACATTTTATAAAGACAAAAAAATAATTTCATTTTTTTTCTGGACCCTTTTTGTCGTGGTCACATATTATCAATGAAGTATTCTTTTCTGTATTTATAAAGTTCTTGAAAAAAAGAAAATGTGTTTTTTTTTTTATACTTATTTGATTCCACGCTAAATAAACATGTTTAATATTACAGAATTTAATTTCAGATACATTTATACTGTAGATATTGTTTGTTATTTATGTAGATTTTTTTTACATCTTATGAGGAAAAATTATTTTTTTTTAAACAAACAAATCCAATAATTACATTTGTTCAACATTGCTTTTCAATTGGGTTTCCTGATATTTTTTTATAATTCACATTTTAATAATAATAATTTTGATTTTCAATGAACCACATTTTTTGCTACTACTGAATAAGAAGTTTACAGTGCGTCATTACTCTTAAATGTCTAAAGGTTTGCAAAAATTTGATGATAAAAAATATTTGATCGGATAAATATTCAAATAAAAAAAGCTTAAAATGCCAAATTCAAAAGACCTCAACGCGTTTCACATTTACATTTATTTAATAGGAAATCTACCATCTTTAAAGATTCACAGATACACCATATCTTATCTTGTTATTTATGATTTACTTTATATTGCATGTTATACATTTTTGAAGGCACGTTCTCGGACAAATATTAAAATTTCTTTTTTTCATATTTTCTAGAATTTCAAATGACCTTACCCCCCCCCCCCACAGTGTAACCCGTCTGTTGTATATTGTTACACTAGAAAGGATGCTATGTGAATTGTGTAGTGTTTTGTTGTCTTGTATTATTTTTATCTCTCCGTACAGGAAACAGCACGTTAAACAATGTATTTCAGACGTACTTCAGTATTAAGATTAAAGTGATGTAAATTAATAACTATTATCTCTGTTATATATTTTCTCTAATTCTGCAGATACCAGTATGATAGAACCAGGGATTCTAAGGCTGAACTAAATAAATATTATCGCTCTACCCAGCACCTAAAGCCGTCTATCTTAGAAGTACCTCAGTATTATTATTGACAATTAGATTAAAAATATATAAATCAATTAACTTTGTGATTCTTTTTGTTTGATTTTACAGGGGACAGTATGTTAAATACAGGTATTATTTTACCACGATCTGTCTGGGATGTTCTTCTCCACCCAGACAGAGATCACGACGAGTATAGTGGATATAAATCTACTGATCTATTTTAAACAAGTGTCCATGTATATTTTTCTTTTTTAATTTTACAGGAGACAGTATGTTAAACACAGGTTTTTCTGACTACGATCTGTCTGGGATGTCCTTCACCACCCCAGACAGAGATAACGACAGGTGGCCTGGTGGTAACTGTGCTACTTGGTCTGGTTATAGAGGAGGCTGGTGGTTTAACGATTGTCACCTGGCCTTCCTTAACGGTCAATGGTCCCCGGAGACTGTTCTGGCCATATCCCACAGATGAGGGACATCAGTGAGGGGGACCACCATGATGATCAGACGTCATTAGGTAAACATCATTAAATCTTAATATCCATTTTTTTTCTTTTTGTATCACTCTGAAATTTTCAGTTATAAAAGTTGTTTTTTTTTTAATAAAAAAAAAAAATATGTATCATACATTTATCTGTGAAGTATTAATTCAATTTTTTTAAACAGACGAAACATCATCCATGGATTACGGAAACCCCAAAGAGACGATTTTAAATTAATTTTTATCGCTGAGTTCTTTTTTTTAATATTTAACATCAAGTAACAAACAGTAAAAGAAGGTGGTTGAACGGCTCTGTAAAGCGATACTGGATGTATTCAGTAAAAGATGTATTTTATATGTGTTGTAATAAATTTGAAAATAGAAAAATTTCGTTCTTTTTTCCAAACACTGATAAATGGAGATAACTGGACGGAGAATTAGGATGAAGATGAATCAAAAAAATCAAATTTGCAAAACAAGACAAGGAGTTAGAAAAAAATATTCGTTATTTTTTGAAAGATGTTATCTTATATTTTCAACTGTCTTTGCAAATAAAAAGCAAGCTATTATTAATCAATATGTTTGCTAAAACTTTTGTAATTATGAGACTACATCTTTAAAAAATGATTCAATATGTGTGACAAGACATTCTCCTTTATGCAATGTGTATACGATGGTTTATATACTAGTATATCTAAAAATTTGATAGACTACAACTTGAAATTTGTTATTAAATCAATAGGAAAAGTTTTAGGAGCTAATGATCAAAATTCAAGAAAAGTTTGTGAAACAAAGAGGCTTATGATAAATGTTGTCGTTTGCAGGTCAAACACCTGTCAATATAAAGGTAGTTTTGGTGAAACGTTCCTCACAATGAGTTTACCTTCTAAAAAAACCATATAAGCAGCAACAGTTCCGTAATTATGACCAAAGTTAGAGATTTTCAAAAGTAGGTCAAACTGGACAAGGTCAAGGAGTCAATATTAATGATGCCCAAAAGAATTTCAGAAAGAATACACAGGTGAAATATAAAACTCACGAAATAAACCATTCAAAAGTTATCACCAAAGTTTTTTTCAAAAGTTGGTCAAAGTCTGATGTCCAAATGAAAGGATAAAAATATAAAAAGAAAATATTGGTATTCAAGAGAAGCTTTTACCACAAGAAATGAACCGGTAAAATAGTTAACCCCTAGCACAAAATATTCAGTAAATATGACCAAAGTTTACGTTTTTGAAAAGTAGGTCAAATCCCTAAGTTCAAGGTTCAAGGTCATTACTGCTTGTACTCAAGAGAAGGTCTTATCAAAATATAAGCGTGAGGAGTACGATATCACTTGATTTAACCGTGTAATAGCTACGCTAATTAAAATTTTGAACATTTTTAAAAAGTGAGTAAAAAATAAAGGTCACAAGTCAAAAATACTTTTACCCAAGGAAAAGTTTTTACACGTTGAATACACCAGTGAAATATCAAAGCCATGGTTTATATGACCAAGGCTCAAATTCCAAATTCGAAATTGACCGTCAAAATAAAGAAAAAACCTGTGAAATATGAAATTCATAGCTCAAACCAATTAAAGGCTGTAGTCAGGGCTAATTGATCGATTAACCACTTACAGATAAATCAGGAAAAAAAATAACAAACAAACAGACAACTGGACCGACCGTCCTAGGAAAATATATTTGCCCCTTATTTTTTGGATTACGGATAGAAATTTTAAAAACAACACTTTGTGCTAAAATGTTTGTATGTATGGTGCGAGGAGATCCCAGTCAGTTTCCTTGGGAAAATAACGAAACAATATAATGCACTGTCTGTCTTTGTGTATATGCTATTCATAGTTTATTTAAAACATGAGGATAAACCTATCACTTCCGAGGAGACGAATATACAATCCGAGGAAAATTAGATCTCTTCCAGGAGAGGAATATACGATCCGAGGATAAATTAATGACTTCCGAGGAGAAGAATACGATACGTTAACTTAAGAATACTCCATTTAATGATTTAGAAAGTATACCATGCTTAATGAAATTATATAAAAAAGATAATGGTTGCAAATGTTTATTTTAATTAAAAGAAAATGAATCATTATATAACAGAACACTCTTCAGGCTCCAAATAAAATGGAGAATCCACACAAATAAAAAGTTTTAGTCCGTCTTCTCCTGAATAGTACGTGTAGTTTCTCTCAATCAAAACCTTCCGTCGTTATGATAAGTCAAAAGGAGGCCAATGATTGGGTCAACTGATGTCTCGCCCTCATCGTTAGGATTCCAGTTCTAATACGTCACTGGTGTCCAATTATCAAAAATGAGTCTTTCATTGTCGTCAAATGTCAAAACATTGAACGAAATGCAAATGAACCGTTGAGATCAACTTCTGCAGAAAAGGACAAGAAAAAAATTATTTCATCTTAAAATTTAAACACCACCGATACGTTTATGAAATGTTGCTTTAAATCCTGAATGATCTAAAAATTATAAAATTTGATCCGCTGTATCCAAGGTCAGTAGACATTTCAAGGGAAAGTATTCTCATTTTTATGTGTAACAATAGAATATTTTCTAACGAGTATGATAAGCCAAACTTTATTTAATTTGAAAAACAAAGAATATAATGTTTATGAATGAAAATAGAACTGAAAATTTTGATCAGAAATAGATTTCAACCAGATTTAATATGCAGTTTTTTAAAATCAAAATCAAAAATTACTTAAAAGCAAAAAAAATCTAGGATAACTTTTTTACAGAAGTTAAAAATACATCTAATAATTTTTAATGAAATAGTTCAACTTTAATCAAATGTATATTCAAGAAATTTGACAAATTGATATTGTATTCATGTGATAAAAATGAAAAAAAAAAGGAAATATGGAGAAATTCATGCTCAAACCACATTGTAATATCAAGTTATGTGAGTAGATTGTTTAAACCTGGATGTAAACAATTACCATAAAATGTATTTCATTGTTAACCTGATTTACCACTTACAGTTCCCATAAATCAGAAAAAAAATCAAACGACTTATGAAAAATATAATAAACGTTCGCATGACGGCACTCTGCATATTAAAACATTAAAACTATTTTTATTTGATTTACGATACGTGGCAGGAAAATATATTTGCCCCTTGATTTTTTTTGGATTACGGAAAATGAAATTTTACAATGCAGGTGTTTTAAAACACTTGAAATAAGTTTTTGCTGTTAAAAATGTTTTGTTTGTAAATAAAAAATACAACTAAGGCACAAGTCAAAAAATGCACTTTTACCCTTAGGAAAATTTTAACTAATTTTAATAAAACATACAGTTTTCCTTTAAAGCCATAGTTCATTATATATTCCGAAAAAGAGCAATTTACACATTTTGACCATATAATTAATTTAATTTGACCGATTTTTGTGCAAAAAAGAAAAATAACATCCAGAACGTTAAACTTAAGAAACTCCATTTAATTAAGCATTTGGTTAGTTGCTCATTCATGAAGGATGACTCCAAAAAATTATATTTTATTTGAAATGTTCGGCAGTATTGAAAATGAAATTTTTTAGCAAATTTTCCATTCTAGTTGGAAAATGGAAAAGTTTATAAAATTGAATTCTGTTTGTTACAGTTACAGAAATAATATTTTTGACAAGACCATATTTTTTGAAACCTTAGATACCAATGCTTGAATTAACAATGATTTATGATTTAAAGACTTTGATTTGTGTGTGTATTGAATAAAAATTAGTGCTGTTAGCAAAAAGCCTTTATACTTAAACCTATGTATTATAGCTACTCTAAAAATATATGACATGTGAAATAGATAATAACAAAAAATATTTATCTTATGCATCAATGGCTGTTTTTCTAATTTCATGTCCTGGATAAATCCTATCCTTTTTAAGTGGAAAATAAGCTCATTTTCCACTATTTCTTTGATCATACACATGGAATACAATTTGAAAATCCAGAGCTCACATGACCAATATTACAATTTCCGATGATGAATTTTTTCTCTAAAAATAGGAGAGGAATTTTATACACCTGTGAATTTTATCCGAGATTAACATTTAAAGTTTTTATCCTTAAATCAGATAAAAAGGGGGATAAATATATACACAACTTTGTGGATTAAAGATGAAAATTATTGAATACTTTTGATTATTTTTTTGCTAACGTATAGAAAACTTAAGAATATCCATTTAATGATTTAGAACTTTATAAACCATGCTTAATGAAATTATATAACAAAAGATAATGATTGCAAATGTTTATTTTTATATAAAGAGAATGAATCATTATGTAACAGAACACTCTTCATGCTCAAAATAAAATGGAGAATCCTCACAAATAAAGGGAAGTTTAAGTCCGTGTTCTCCTGTATAGTACGTGTAGTTCCTCTCAGTCACCCAGAGCCACCTTTCGTCGTTATGATAAGTCAAAAGGAGGCCAAAGATTGGGTCAACTGCTGTCTCACCCTCATCGTTAGGATTCCAGTTCTGATACGTCACTGGTGTCCAATTATCAAAAATGAGTCTTTCATTGTCATCAAATGTCAAAACATTGGCACGGAATGTATATGAACCGTTGGGATCAACTTCTGCAGAAAAGGACAGGAAAAAAATGTATCATTCTCAAAAACACTTTTAACTTTGTCATACCTTGTTTGAATTAGGATTAATAATATCTTATCTAGGAAGATTTTCACTCAAATTATACAATATGCTTGAAAAAGTTAAAAAACGATAAAACTGGTGATTTTCTTCGCATGCCAAGAGGAAATATCATCTCTTTGTGGAAGAGAATTCTTAGGAGAGATGTTATTAGAAATTTAAAATTTTTATACACTGCAAAAATGTATTTTAAACATTTTAAAATTTTTAACTTCACTCAATTTTGTAGACTGCAAGAAAATCGATAAAAGGTATTAATTTATTATGGTAAAAATTTGGAACTTTAATTTACTATGGCGAAAACTTTAGAAATTTTATTTACTTTGTC